GAGATAGTTCAGGCTGTGGTAGACTTCATGAAAGCCAATTACCCGCCCAACTGGACGTATCAGGACTTTGCCAATCAATTCACGGCTGAATTCTTTGACCCAAACCATTGGGCGGATGTCTTCAAGTAATGCAAAAAACAATGAGTAGAATACAAAAAATTGTCATTTTTATGAACTTATAAATAGGTCATCCGGTGCTAAGTATGTGGTATTGACGACCAAACATCACGAGGGGTACACAATGTGGCCCTCGAAGTACTCGTACAGTTGGAACGCCATGGATGTCGGACCCAATCGGGATTTAGTCGGTATGTCCTGCGCCTACATTTGGTATTTTACATCAAATTATAAGTGCTTTCATATACACTGAACTACAGGTGACGTATCAAAGGCTGTCCGTGCGGCTGGCCTTAAGTTCGGTACTTATCACTCGTTATTTGAATGGTTTAATCCACTCTTCAGAGCTGATGCCGACAGTGGATTCAAAACCCAAACCTATGTCGACGTATGAGATAATGTTTAAAATGTATTTTTATGTGTATTTCATATTTTTTTGTTACAAATTACAGACTAAAGAAAATCCAGAATTATATGAATTAGTGAACACATATAAGCCGGACCTGATTTGGTCGGATGGGGCCGGCGGTGGGAGCTCTCAGTACTGGAAAAGCGAGGCATTCCTGGCCTGGCTTTACAACGATAGGTCAGAATTGAAACAATTTGAATCAAGGTTTTCAATTCAATAATTTTTATCTCAATTTTAGTCCCGTTAAGGATACTGTTGTCGTGAATGACAGATGGGGTACAATATTTTGATACTAAGATTAAACATATCGTATACTTAGTTTAACACATTTCCTATTACTTGTACCCAAAAGGATCTGAGACTGATGGTCACCATGGTGATTATTACAACTACGCTGACAATTACAACCCTGGTAAGTTGATGCCCCATAAGTGGGAGAATGCGGCCACACTCATGAAGGGCTCGTGGGGTTATCACCGCAATATTGATCTCAACGGTATTATGAGTCCATTGGAAATACTCACACAACTCGCACAGACTATTAGGTACCAGACCATAATCAGTATTTTTTTAATGTTTTTAAATTTATTTGTAAATAATTTTATAAATATGTAGTTGTGGCGGAAATATATTGCTTAACGTCGGGCCCACCAAAGAGGGCACTATTATTCCCGTTTTGGAGGAACGGCTGCGAGGACTGGGAGATTGGCTTAACGTGAATGGAGAGGCCGTGTATAGTAGCCATCCCTGGACTCATCAAAACGATACGACCACTAAAGGCGTTTGGTTTGTATTGACACCAAAAATAATTTACAAATATTAACTGATTTGACAACAGGTATACCCATAAAGACCAAGACGTTTACGCCATTGTCTTGTTTTGGCCAAAGGATAATCAGGTAGAGTTGGGATCAGTTGCATACAATTCAGTCAATACTATCCAAATGTTGGGAGTGGAGGGCAATCTGGACAACAAAGCCAGTGGTGATCACACTGTGGTAACCTTCCCTCACGTCAGTCCAGAAAGTCTTAAAACGGCTTATGTTTTGAAAATTAACACCAAATAATTGACTGTAAACTTTAATAAATAAGTTTTTCATAATTTTAATAAATAAGTTGACATTTAATTTTAATAAATAAGTTGACATTTAATTTATTATCAAAAATTTAAATAAAACATAATTCAGGCTAAATCTAAAATATAAAAATAATTATCAAAAGTAAATTTGTTATGAAAAGTTGGCCACTCATGGGAACGGTATTTGCATTATTATGACCAGTAGTCGCAAATTTGAGACTCTCAATAGTAAATGTTGGGAGTGGAGGGCAATCTGGACAACAAAGCCAGTGGTGATCACACTGTGGTAACCTTCCCTCACGTCAGTCCAGAAAGTCTTAAAACGGCTTATGTTTTGAAAATTAACACCAAATAATTGACTGTAAACTTTAATAAATAAGTTTTTCATAATTTTAATAAATAAGTTGACATTTAATTTATTATCAAAAATTTAAATAAAACAGAATTCAGGCTAAATCTAAAATATAAAAATAATTATCAAAAGTAAATTTGTTATGAAAAGTTGGCCACTCATGGGAACGGTATTTGCATTATTATGACCAGTAGTCGCAAATTTGAGACTCTCAATAGTGGGTGATTTTATGTTCAGGTATCTGTTCCAATTGACTGGTGGAGGGTTATCAGGGTCAAACATTATGTTGTCATCCTTTGGATCAGAAGTTGTCTGTATTTCTCTTTCATAACGTCTTTCATGACTTTTACTAACATTGACTTCAATTGAAATCTTAATGAATGCAAACATTGCTTTACTTTCAATGCGAACCACATAGTGACACAATAAACACACGAAAAGATTTATTATAAACTTATTTTGCTTATATAACAAAAAATACATTTCATAAATTTATCTAAATTTATTTATTGCAGAATTTCATATAAAAACTATTTATTTTACAATATATGTATTCATTTGAAAAGTTAATTGTTTGAGCAGTAAGTGATTTAATATTATTTCAATTGGTAACTGTTTTGTTTAATTTTGTTATATTTTTTATTTCAAATATTAAAACAAACAAAAAATTAAATATTAAATGTAAGAAAATTTATGGAATAAAACTACAAGCAATAAAAATAATTTATAAAAATTAGTTAAACATTAAGTGCTAAACAAAAATCAAAAAGTAAATTATGAATAATTAAAATCTAGAACAGTAAAAATAATAATAAATCAGAAATCAAATAACTTAAAAATAAACTTAAATTAAAAGTAAACTAATCAAATAAAACAACAGAATTGACACATTTAGGACACATGTATGAGCACCGGTAGCCTCTTATTAGTGCCATAATTCATATCGAGATAACTCTTGAAATCCTTTTTCAGATTCTTATTGAACAGACACTCAATGGGTTTATTCGGCGATTGACTCGCGATACCAATCAATGCTTTGATGGACTCAATGGTGATGTCCTCACAAAGGGATACATCAATGTGTTTGAGTTGTGGACAGTTGGTAGCGATATGTATCAACATCTGATCCGTGAGCTGAGGTGTTGTAAATATCTGCAGATGTGTCAAGTGTTTCATGCGATCAATTGGTGACAGACATTGATTGACATCCGACGGAAATCTAACATAAATTAAGTTTAATTTCTGAAGTTTAGGCAAAAACGTGGCAATGGCTCGGACACAGTCGGTGGACAGGGAGCTCGACTTAATACACAGCGAACGCAATTTTGGACATCTCTTCAACAGCTCTATATCATGAAAGCTTATAACAGATCCATTGGTGTCTAAAAGGACACACAACTCCTCCAACTGATCCAGACGTGAGATATCTCTGAAGAATTGATAGACATGTGTTTGAGTCATATATGGATCAAATCGGGTGCACTTTAGGCGACGAAGAGAGTAGAAGTGATTAGCAATTCTGGCCATTGAGTTGATATCAATTAGATTAAGAACTTCCAGTTCTTGCAGATTAGTGACCCGTTTGTTAATCAGACACTGAATGGCGTTATCATTGAATAGATGACCGCATGTTTTGATCACATCGATGGTGCGGTTGATGTGCTTAAACACCTGTCCTCTGTATGTATTGACATCTCTATTGGATTCGCTGTTCGACAGAATACCCAACAAAACAAATGCCTTCAGATATGGCAGTCCTTTGAGAAGCAATTTAATGGTCTTCTCGCGGATCAACACATGAGTCGATATGATTTGAAGGACACGAAGGTTTGGGTATTTGCGGACCAGTCGTATGACCTCTATTTCGGTGATGATGACCTTCTTGTCGTGACAATATAGGGACAGATGTCTGAGATCTCGATTGCAACTCATGATTACAGATCTTAAGATATTTGTCTTGAGATCGCACTTCTCGAGGACCACGAATAGGTAGCATAGATTGGGAAACAGTGCCACCACTTGAGTCAGCCATCGTTGCAGATCTCTTCGTGTCAATGTCTTCACGTTTGACATCAAGTCATTCAATGTGATCACCGTTTTGTTGTATTTCAGGCGAGATGTCCGGTGATCGCAGAGGTCTTCGATGATAAGACTGGTTTTGGTGGCGAACATAGAGTGGATCAGTTCATGCCATCGAATACACACTCCCTGTGCCCTCACTTTCGACAAGAAGTCCAAGTGTTTGAAAATCATTATCAGTACTTCATTTGGCAATGAGTTTACAATTGTGATCCAGTGGTCACTCATTTTCATGAATATCTCTCCGATGGTGTGACCAATGATTTTGAATAGATTTAAAAGTTTAGAAAACTATAAACTCGAAGAATTTTGTTCATTGTATAAGACATTAAAATCTCAAAATTCATTATTCAATTAATGATATTTAAATTTTAAATTAAAACAATAACTTCACGTTATAAATGATTGATTCATTATTATTATCACGCTGTTAGGGATTAATTTATTTTTTATTCAGTGTCATATTTTGCAATTATTTATTACTAAAATACTTTAGCTTTGGTGTGAATTTTGATTACAATTAATACAGACTTCTATTGATTGTGATATTTGCGGGTATTTTGTGTTCAATAAATATATCTTCTGTCATATCATTGAATACACGAATTGTGAACATCTTCTGTGGCTTTGTTTCGTACCAAACCATGAAATCATTGATGAATTGGTGGCAAAACTGGGAATATCTGTAGAGATTATATCTCGTGTCGTGTCTCAAGTGAATATCCGACAGCTTTGGGAACTCATTGAGAGTTTGACACAAAATATCTGTCTTTGATCTCAAGTCTTCGTAATACAGAACCAGTCGTCGAATTGATGAGAATTTTGCCATCAAATGAAACAGTTGTCGATAACATGTCATACACTGGATCTGATTGATGTGACATGAAATGGATGTCTTTTTTGAGATGATTGTGTTGAGCGCCGGGAAGCACCTCAAGAGAGCCTCAAACGCCCACTCATTCATATGACACGAGAAGAGGTACAGAGTCTTCACGTTTGAGAACCGATTCGTGGTTTCCGTGTATTCATAGTCGAGAAAACTCTGGCAATTGATCGACAGATATATCAGTTGTGTCTGTCTTTGTGCCACACTTTGAAGACAACGCCATTGATGCGAATCAGAGCTCAACTTATAGCCAAATGTCTTGAGCTTCATATGAGTGATAATGACCTCAAATGCCTCTTCAGTCAACACAAAGCTCTCCAGATTAAGATAATCTAAATGTTTGCCATTACTGTCTAGCAGTTGATCCGATAATTCACGTGTTAATACGGCGTTTGGATTGGATCTGACTCTCAATGATTTGATACTCTTTGGCAGATATTTGAACAAATCGGTGGTATTTATGCTGCAATTCGTATAGACTATCAGTTTCTCCAATTGTCTTAATTCTGCCACCAATTGAATCATATCTTCTGAGTGTTTGCCGCAAAGATTGACCATAAATTTGTGGACACTTGTGGCCAACAGTCGACCCAATTGTCTGAACTCCTGTTCATTAAACCCATGAAATCCGTTGCATAGGAATAGCTCGTCGACCGATGGGAAGGCCTCCAGAATTTCATACAATGTCTGGTAATTGGTGTCGAAGTGACTGATCGCCAGATACTTAATGTTTGGGAATTTCTAAACCCATGAAATCCGTTGCATAGGAATAGCTCGTCGACCGATGGGAAGGCCTCCAGAATTTCATACAATGTCTGGTAATTGGTGTCGAAGTGACTGATCGCCAGATACTTAATGTTTGGGAATTTCTTCGAAAGCCAAAGCATTGTCTCTTTGCTGGCCATAAGACATGGCGTTCCGTCCGAATGGCACGCAAGCAGTCGGTTGGGAAAGGCATAGGCTTTGGGTATGACTTCCCCTTTAGGTAGGTATTGATTGACTCCAACCCTGGAATTGATGGCTATATTCCTCTGGCGTCCGAACCAATAGTTGGCGCATATCTTGAACTGTTTGGACACTCTCTCCAATCGCATCAATTCATTGATCTCCAGATACGAGAAGATGTGAATCAAGACATCGATATTCATGACAACTGTCTTCGCATCTGTTCCGTCGCTATCATTGTTTTCATGCATTTGATCGTCTATTCAACGACTCATTTAGTCCTGAATTGAAGCTTAAGTTTAAAATTTGTTTGAATTGTTTGGTGAGTCTCGCACTCATTTCATGAATTATGTTGAGTCCAAAAATGTGCTTGCTTCCCATTGTCTCCAATGGATACTCAATTATAAGCTAATTACAAATATTACACTACTTCTCAAACATTAAAATTAATTCAAACTAAACTGTTTAAACTTCAACTTATTAGTGATTCAGTAAATTCAATTGATATGCTTTCCATTTTCACTAATAATCATGGTATAATTTTGCATAACATAATTGATTGATATATAATAAATTAACACGTTTATATTTTTAAAAAGGTGTGAATTATCAGCATCAATTCAATATAAAAAGCAGTAAATTCCTCGCATTTATTCAACAGTTTATAGTTTATTGAGTGCATAAAATAATATTTGAATTAATTATTATCAATATTCAATATAGGTAATTACAATTATACAAAATTTAAATTAAGCAATACTAATAAGTGTAATACAGAGTAAATAGTATACTAAATACTAACAATTTAAAAATAACTACAAGTATTAGATAAGAATATAATGCAATCCAATGGTAGTATTGAATTGAATGCCTTATATTCCGCATGCATTGCAGTGATGCCTATCGTAAATAGTGTAGCGCCTGCTCTCTATGCACTACGAAAGGCATGCCCTCCAAAATAGTAAGCATTGGTAGTATGCGATCCTCGATAGTATAGTGGTTAGTATCCCCGCCTGTCACGCGGGAGACCGGGGTTCAATTCCCCGTCGGGGAGATCAACACTTTTTTTTTGTTTTTTTTTACTTTTTTAATGTTATTTGTTTGAAACATGCAATCCATGCAACCTTTAATACAGATTTTGCTTCTTATGTCAACTATTATTTAGATTTTATTTATGAATGTATTATTTGTTGTGTAGAGTAGTGTCTATTCATTAGTGCATTTATAAGACACCAGTACAGTATAGACTTCATTATAATTAGTGAAGATTTTTCATTGAAATTGCATTTCATTTATGATTAATTATTCTCCTTTCAGACACTTCACAAAGTTTTCACTAAAAAGATAAATTAAGTTATTATTGACGGTTAACTTATCTCATAATTCTTTACATAAATGTAAAACCGCAAGTAATATATTAAATTAAGTCTCTAATTGTGTCCTTGAATTAACAATATATTTGGTAAATGTTATGAATTATAATACAAATACCTGTATATGTCTCACAAATATCATGAAATACTTGTATTTTTGTTATACAAATACACTTTTATTAAGTGTACTTTACATTAAGAAAAAGTGTATTTTACAGGAACTCCTAAACACTATTTCCATACAAACCTTGACTAAATAGGTATTGTATGGACGGACAGTAGGTATTTGTATGACAAATGTCATGTAAAAACATAGGATAATTGTGTTCAACAAAAATATGATTTCCTATATAACTATATAACTAAAGTTAGAAAATTTTATAATAGTTATGATTGTCTCGTAAACTAAAATACATTTATAGTACAAAAATAACTTTGAATATTAAATGAGGAGAGAAAGTCTGGTTTTGAGTTGTTTTTTGCCAAAAGTTTTCCTAAAACTTTTGTTTTCAAACTTTTAGTTGTTTACAGAGAACTGAATGACTAATACTGTGCTATGTTTTAGACCTGATGTCCTACTTTTTGTCCTTAAATCTAGCTTAAAATACCTGTCCTATTATTAGACTAGAATACTTTTGTGACTCATAAACTAGGACCTATTTAATATACACCATTATCGATATAAGTATATTCATTAAATGCTAATTTATTGCTATTTAACGTGATTCGCATAAATTGATTAAAAAGTTTTAATGCATTTATTGACAGTAAGACTAATAGAGAAATCATAGGATTTTTAATTTCAAGAGCAGAATGTAATCACAAGTAACTCTTGAATATTATTAAGAAATCAATGAAAAGAAAGTTTTATATACAGAAAAAAGTGTTGAATTTAGAGTTAATTTCAAAATCCTTGGAAATACTTTAAAGTATAAAAAGTCAATATTCAAGTAAAATACTGAATGAGAAAAGTTTTTTCTAAATAAAAAGTTATCACAAGTTTTTCATCAAATACCCAAAAAAGAAAGAAAATAATATATTTCTCGCAGTTTTACTACATATTCCTTATGAATGACCTCCAGTTCCCCTCGGAATAAGTAATGTCACGACTGTTTGTTTGCGCACAGAATTTGTCGTACGGTTTGTCATCTCAAGCCTAACATCAAATGACAGGTATTGGCAGCTAATGGAAAGGCGGCTCAAGAAGTAAATAAATAATCATTTTCTTAGGGACAGTACTGATATACCAATGATAGGGATGGGAATGGGATGCTTAGCGCGGAAAACCGGTTCCCATTATAATCTACGGCCTAAAAGCACATGACAACAACAACTCTCACTGTATATAACGTACGGCAAAATGTATACATAGAGTGCATGCACTGGTTGTATACGTATGAGTGGTTTAAGCCGTACCAGTGAACTAAATTTTTTGCCACAAAACACATACACACCAGTCGTTTAAACCCGTCCAACCATTCATTTGAATTTTATCAGTCAGTCCTGTCAGTGCTCTCTACCTGTCTCTGTATGGCTGACAGTTGTGAGTGTTTTTTCAGTACATATAGTCAGGTGTGTGTCAATAGTATACTAATGAAACATTTGTAGTACACCAGGACTAATAATAATTTTTTTGAGTACAACTAAATATTTGTGAACATTTCATAAGATTTCATATTAACGTCAATTTGTTGGGCAATCGACGACTTAACGCGTGTTGTTGTGAATCATTTGAATTAAGTGTAATATAAGTGTAATTTTATAATAAAAATAATTTTTACTATAACTTATATTGTCTGATTGTTGTCCATACAAAGTGCACACAATCAAGAAAAACTAGTTATATTTTTCGTGAATAATCATCACATGAGATGATCTCCAGTTTCCTGGAAAAGGATAATTCAATATTCAATTAAATGACTATTAAATAAGTGATTTATAAAAACATAATAAAAAATTTTTGGTGTAAAAGTAAAAGTGCTTTCGATATTCACATCAACCTATTGGCCGATCAATCACTTAATTGTCTATTGAATATACCGTACTGTTAATAATAATGTGAATAAATATTTGATCTAGGAGGAAATTTTTCCCCTTTTTGATTACATAATAATAAACTTCTAATTATAATAAATTGAATAATAATTATCCCGTTCCCTCCCCTTTCCATATGTGTGTCCCTCACACACACGATAAGTACAATTCAATGGAAATTTTGAATTTATTTTTGTGATTTAAGTGATAATTATTTTTACTATTAAAACAAGTGAAGAGCGAAAACGTACTGTGATTGTGATGACAGTGTACCGGTTCACTCGCAGCTAAACCAATAGGTACTCATCACCATCCCTTTCCCCTTCACCAATAATTTCCAATTGCAATCGCTGTACAGAATATATTGTACGCCAAATACCCAACCATTTAGCTATAATGGTATTGCGGTTCACTTTGCATCAAATGGCAAATGCATGGCACAGACACTAGTTGTGCTAATCATACAATCAAACTATTAACTCGACTTTACATTCAATTGTGTGCTATTTGTTGACGACATATATATAATTA